CTTATAAAAATTTGACTTAAATTCGTTTGACATTTGATATTTTTGTAATTTTGTTGAAAGAAATCAAAAAAAAAGGGGAAAAAAAAATGGATGATTTTTCGAATGTTCAATATTGGATATCAATAATATTTGCTGTAATTGTTTAATTGATTAAAAAATAATTAGTACTATTTTAAAATAAATTATTTATTAATGTCTTTTGATGAGAAATATTAGTACTTGCAAATGACATATATGTAAATTACATTTAATCTGTAGTATAGCATTTAGTTTTCAGAACAAGTAAAATTGTTTTAAACAAAAAAAAAAAAAAAAAAAAGAAAAAGAAAATCAAAATTGGCAAAAATTATTGAATTATTTAATCATTAAATAAAAAATTAAATTTATCTGAGGAAATGATAATTACTTATCATTTTTTCCTAAAACATAGTATTTCTTTTTTTTTCTTTTCATTGTTTTCTAAGAATTGATTAAATTCGTTTTTTTTTATTTTATTATATATGTAATTGTTTCGAAGTGAACTTGAATTAATTAATATTTACTTAATTAATTTTATTTCTTTATTTATTATTTCCTCAATCAATTTTCATTTAAAATAATATTGTAAAAAAATTCCAAACATATGGCAGAGGTAAATCTATAAAAGCAACCATACGGTGTTAGGTCGAGTGTCGCATGTCATGAAGGTCATGTCCCCAGTTAAATACATTTTGTTGTATTAACAATAGGCCATACAATTAGGCTTCTTTGCACTATCAAACAATAATTTTAAATTGGAAACAGATGTATCAGTGTGTGTGATGATAATAGTTTGATTACAACTGACATTTGAATAATTAATGATATTTTGTTTTTTGTTTTTTGCATTTGATTAATTAATACACTTTTGTTTTATTATATTTGATTAATTAATTTTGTTTATGTTATGCTATGATTGATATTTTCACAATCAAAAGAAGATTTTGCTAAAAGAAAAAGATGGACTAATAAATTAGATCAGTTGTTTGATAATATTTTATTAGCAAAGCATTTTCAGTTAATGTTTCAGAATGAAATAATTATTGTTTATACTTACAATGGATATTAATTTAATATTTATTTAATAATATAATCGCAATTAAAATATGCAAATATTACTGGAAAAAGCACTAGCGAACTATTTTATGTTGTCAATTTATTATTATTTAAAATCAAAATTTCAAGAAATATATAATTTTAAGAATGTAATAAGCTATTAGCATTAATAATCCCAAAAAGTATTGTTATACTTTCTTTTTATGAGTATAAAAAAGAAAATAAAATTTTGTGCTTTTTTTTAAAAAAAATAATCACTATAAGTATTTATTTGTTTATTTTTCAAATTTGGTCACAGCTATACGTATTTATTTTGTCACTATGATTGTTTTGTGAACCAAAAAAAATAAATAAATAAATAAAAGTTTTGTAATCCAAAAATTAAACATAATTACGAAGAATGAAATCGATTGATTAGTTGAAATTAATGTTTGCTTCGTAATATCATATCGAAATTGATTAACTGAACAATACACTGATTATTTGTAATGATCAGAAAAAAATACAGATCAGGAATAATTCCGGAGAGCAATGATAGCAACAGCATTACTAACCGTTTAGCCTATTGAAATGTTCTAGACTAAATATCATATATTTATTATCATTTTTCATTCATTTTTAATCAGATTAAAATTAAAGAATTTAAAATTTAGCAAACAAAATTTGGAATAAAATCTGAGAAAATCTGATCGATAAATATTGATAACAAAAAGAAAAACTATCAAATTAATGACTAATACATTATGTAAATTTAGGAATACATAAAATCAAAAATAATATTATTAAATTTAAATTTGAAAAAAAAATTTTTTTTTCTAAAAAGTTTTATTAGTAAATTAATATTTTATACATTAATCTTATCGAATCTATAATTTTTGTTAAATAATACAATCCATAATTTCAATATTATACAACAATCAAATTTATTAATTTACAATGCTAAATAAAGGTAAAAGCCAGGTAATAAAAATGTAATAAAAGTTTTTTTTTTTTTGTATATTTATTTATTTATTCATTTGCAGCTGTCTATTTGTGTTCAAAAGTTAAATGATTGTAATCAGTGGTAAAAATGATGACTGATTAAAAAGTGAGTACATTGAGAGAGAAATGAAAAGGACGGAAGAAAGAAACGGTTGATTGCATCAGGAAATGAATTGATGACCATCTGCTTTTGAATGCAATAAAATTTAATGCAACAATTGTACAAAATGTCTTATTACAAGCTGCCGCATATTTTACAAGTAATTTTCTTCTTTGGATTTAGATTTATTTGATTTATTTACAATGTTTTTTTTTTTTTTTTTTTGATTATTTTCAGTGATGATAAAGTAAAGAAGAAAAAGGAAATAACATAAATATTTAAATACCAACATAGGACAATTAGTTCTAAAAGTATTTTAAACAATTATCATTTTTTTTTTTACATAATTTTCATTTGTTTAAATAATTTTGCAAAATTTTATATAATAAAATAAAAAATTAATGTGCCTTCAAATTTTACTTTCAATTGAAATAGAAATTATTTTAGCAAAATTTTGAACTCTTATAACTATATAATAACAATAAATATTTGCTAACATAAATCCTGAAATATCTCTTTAGAGCTAGCACAAATCCTGAAATATCTCTTTAGAGGTAGTAAATATCCTAAAATATTTTTCTAGAGCTGGTACAAATCCTGAAATATTTTTCTAGAGCTAATACAAATCCTGAAACATTTCGTTAGAGCTAACATGCTGAAATATGTTTCTAGAGTTAATACAAAATTCTGGATCCTGAACAAAATCCTTCTTTCATATTACCAGAATTAAAAGGATGAATTCCGGAATACTGACTAAGAATATACAAGTTCTGCTCAAGATAATCCAAATTTCCGGTTAATTACTAGATAATGATTGAAAGTGGTGTAAATTCGTAATATTTACGGAATAGTTAAAAGTGGTGTAACTTCTCCACCAGATAATTTGCCAGCAATAAAACCGTATCCAGTAATGGCGTATTCCTTATCATTTTCGGAAATATACAAGGTTATATAAGAAATCTTTTTTTCGGAATTATACGTTCCGGACGTGAAAATAGCATATAAATTGACGAAAGACCCAGACAACTACGAACATTACGGAGAATTGCATGCAATGAGGTGAATATACAAATATAATCCAGTTAGGGATTTGGGATTTAATGGACCGCGGGCGTCCCGTGAAATGTTGATATTGTTTCGTTTTAGGAGGATGGGTAAAAGCAAGTATTCTCGGGAATGTTTGATTTGATTTGTTTTTATCTTCTATCATTGCTTGTCACAAGTTTATCATTGGCAGTTGCTTAATTCCATCTCAGAGAAGTAAAAGAACAACTCAGGTAGTTTCCTCCAGGTAGGAAAAAGGGTATCATCAGAGATTTTAAGATTTGTCAGGAATTTTGAGTAAACTAAAAAATGCAAAGTTATATATCCAATTATTCATAAGAATTCCTTGAAAATATTGTATTCACTCGATTTGGACATTAATTTTGGACCAATTGAAAATGATTAGAGAAAGTGAATTTGAGTTTCTATTGTTTAATTTGTCTTTCATTGCAATTCATCCATTTGATTGGCACTTTATGGCTTTTGGAATTATCAATTTGTATGTCAATGATAATTGTGTATCGCTTAACTTAGATTAATTTCTTACTTGTTTTGCTTTTGCGACAAGTCGACATTTGCATTTTACTGGTTTCTGTTTTCACATATAGCTTTAAGGTCATAAAATTGTTGATACATTTTGGCCATCATTTATATACTGCCTGCTAATTTGACTAATTAATCGTTTGTTACTTATGCGTTCAGCCATATATTTATTGCGTACTGTAGATTATATGCTTTATTACTCACCATTTAGAATTTTAAACCCCAGTGATTGTTGTGATTAATGTTTGCGTGTTGCACTTAAATGTACATCATGCAATTAATTATTTGTCACTTCTCTTTTCACTTAAGTATTTCATATTTGGTGCTCGATTACTTATCTAATTTTGCAGTGTTAATTATTTTAATGGATATATCAGATGGTATTACGGAATGGCAAGATATTGTCTCACCATTACATAACAGTATGAATCGAAACAGTAATAAAAGGAAAGTTTCTGGACCAATTGTTCCAAAGGAAGCAAAGGTACAGAAGAAAATCGTCAAGGAAGTGGGTTTTATTGAGTAATTTATTATTGATTAATCATACTAGCATTAAAAAAGTATTACACGGTGAAAAAAAAAAATGGCTTTATTTTATCTACGACTGTATATCATTGTTTTAGATGTTGCGGTAATTTTTATTGTATCAGCAAGAATCAGAAAAAAAAATTCAGTTCACTTCAGTTTTTTTATAAAGTTATAGATTGTTATAGAATTTATAGAATTTTCTATCGAACTTTACTCCGTAACCGCTGAAGTTACCATTGAACCACTGAAATATGTCATTGTTTTCTTATATATGCGATTTTTTTTCCAGTCAGCATCGGATGCCAGTGACGATATAGAAAGCGCTCAGTCATCCTCAGTAGATCTTCATTTTTCTCCTAGTCAAATTGCAAAAATTGTCGAGGTACATATGTTTTTATTGAATTATGTTATAAATCCATTTTATGAAGTACAACTTCATATTCATAAATTTTCCGGTCAAATCTCATTATTTCATAAAAAAGTATAATCCACACTCTGTTGAAGAGTGATAAATTCGTTAAGTTGTTGTGCTTAATCAAACCTTATGTTTTAAATTCATGTTAGGTTTAAGAAATTATAAAATCCTTCATATGGAGCAACACTTCAATTAGCACTTCAGTTTAATCATTCCTACAGTACAAATCTTCAGGAATTAAGAACAAAGGTGCAACAAAAAAAGAAAATCTTGTCGAAAAAATTTTTGGGATTCAACGATTTTGATGATATTGATATGCCACCAGGAGGAACTAAAGAGTAAATTCTTCAATTTCGGCTATTCCAATTTGTATTCTTAATTATCACTTCTGGATTTAATAACAGTTCATAATCATGGCTTACATTGAAGTATTTTCTCCACTTAAATGATTTAATTTAAGGCAAAAGGCGATCATTTCAAATAATAAAACCTTTACGACACGCTAATCTCGTTTTTCATGAATTAGAGATTTCTTAATTAGTTTGGCCAGTTTTAAACATATATGCTACATCTTCTGTTTTCGATTTAAACCAAATAGAGAACAAAGACAATTCAAAATAAAACAAAACAAAAAACAAATACAAAATTTTTTATGCACCTAAAGCAAACATGAAACTTTTAGAATGCTCAAGATCGACTTACGCAGGTGTTTGAAAGAAGCAACATTATTGTCATCGATGACAGTACCCACTGCCCTTGAGGTTAGTTTGGTTTTATAATTTCAATGAAATTTGCAATAATTTAGTCGATGCATTAAACTTTACCCAGTAATATTATACTGTATGAAAGACAGTTCAGCTGATGTTTCGAGTTACTTGTCAAAGTTTAATTTTAAATTTCAATTGAATAATATAAATTGAAATACGACTCATTTTTCAACGATACTTTCTCTCTTGTATCTTCCTGATTCCGAAAATGCCTAAAAAGCAAGAAGCAAGTTAAATACAATGAATATGACATATCAAACTAAACAAAGCATCTTTCTCTTGAGAAATTTATTATATATATAGAAATTCTTTAAGTTGTTGCATGCGTTCTTGGAAGAAGGTCATAGTATTACAATGGATCCAGCATTTCCTAAAAAACCACCAAATGCTTTTTCAATATTTATGCGAAAAGCAGGACATAGCAGATTCTCATCGGTAAGTTTTTTATCATTTTGGTATGTTTTTCTGATCTTTTAAATCCGTGAATAGCTTCTAAATTTGTACAATGAAAACAACTGAAATTTCAAGGTAAACATTTATGGTGTTTTGTAGAAAAGTGGAAGTATTTGGAGTGTTGGAATGTTTTTAGAGGAAGTATTTAGATTTTGGAATGAACTCTTTTATAAATTCTTTATAAATTTATTGTGAAGTTCAGGTTTTAAAATTACAGTGTAGTAGCCTTGTCTTATAATGACTAGCACAGAGAGAATAAAAAAACAGGTAAGTAAGGAATAAAAGCTGTCTCACGTGATGTCTTTTTGTTATTGTCGAATGGAATATGAACTTTTAAAAACATTTCAGTCTTGATAATTAAAGGATTTTAGGTACATCTTAGGTTTTCGTGTAGGTGTTTTTAAGATGTAAGCGCGTATTAGTTGTGATTCTTTTTAGGATGTAAGTGCATTCTGGAATAATGAGTCGAATGCAGCTGAAAAAGCAGAAGCAAAAAAGGAAGCTTTACAATTAATGGAAAAATATTTGTCAAATTTGCATGCTTACAGGTAAATCTTTTGAACTCTATTTAAGTGAATTGTAATTATAATCTATGTTCTCATCGATTTTGTCATTTGCGATCTTCAATGTTTTCTTCTCTTTTTAGAGAAACACACCAAGAATTAACGCTAGCACATCGAAATTATGTGGATAATGCAATTTCGATTGCGCAGAAAGCCGTAAGTTTTTTTATTTTTTCTAAGCAAAATTTTCATTAAATATTTTTTTTACATCCGTTACTTATTGATCTTATATTTATACATTTGATGTAATTTATAAGTACTCCCATCGCTGTTTAATGATATCATTCATTGTTTTTTTTATACTGATCAGCGGTTATTATTTACATTAAAGTGCCAATTTCATAATGAAATATTTCAGTGGAATATTGAAATGACTTTTTAAGTTTAGATCAGTAAATCAAAAGGGATGAAAACTAATAATAGCAACAGAAAATCCGTTAAGAAGAAAGGACCGAAAACAGCCTTCGATCTCTTTGCAATCAGTATGGCTAATAAGTAAGTTATGAAGTGGCTTAAAGCTATGTTTAGTAAATATGCTGAGATTTTTACACTCTGAAAGTATTCTCTAATAAGAGATTGTGAAAACTCCTTCATAATGCTGCTTGTATTAGTTTAATTTTCTATTCGAAAGTAATATCAACCTGATGACTTATTTATAAAGTAGAGAGAATTTTAATGCTTTGTTTTCATTTCTTCCTTATTTATATGTATGTGATTATTTTTTTATTTATATGTATATGAAATTTAACTTCTTTCCAGATATGTTGATTTGGAACCCGAAAAACGAGAAAAAAGACTGCGGAAGAAATTTGATAAATTGAGTGAAGCCGAAAGAGAAATTTACGATAATTTGGCAGCAGCACTTTAGATTCATGTAAGATATGTACGTGCGAAATTTCTTGTTTTGTTTGATTAAACAAAAAGTACAATTTCCCTTCCTCAACATTTGAATACAGTTAACGAATAGAAGAGAAATTTTTCGAATTATAGAAGAGAAAATTTTTGAATTATTGTAGCCTAATGTATTTCACAAGTATTTATTAAGTATAAAAATTCTTGGTCAGATGTTCTGATCACATTGTCGTTTATGCATCACAGATGTATAAGAGTCATACATTTTTCAAGTTGTTGTATGAATTTGGTGCTGTAAATTATAATTTTTTCTTTTTTTCTAATGTATATATGAAATATTGGACGAGAATATTGGTCAGCTTCAAGTTTGGGAGGGACAGGAGAGAGCGAAAAAAAAAAGAAAATTTTCTAGAAAAAATTTGTTTCTACATGATTTTGTTGGCTTAAAACAAACACCCATTCACTCATTCAGTTTTTTTTTTTGTTTTTCTCTCAGAGATAAATTAAACCGAATAATGAGAAGCAAAGTTCAAATTTCACTTATTACATTTCGGGTGCAATGTCATTTTCATGGAAGTGGAAGCCCCTTTCAAGATATTCTACTACAGTTCTGATGTTTTTATAGCAGTGAAAGATATCAAATTTTACTTTCCAAATTTCATTAAAATTTTGGCATCTGGTACAATTTTTTCAATTCATTGCTTCTTATTTTATAAGATAACAGCAATATTTGTTTCTCTATGAAACTATATTAATTCCACTGTGTTACATTTTGTTATTTCTGTTGTTTTGATAAATTGAAGTCATATTTCTTGATTTATTTTGTACTACTAATTTGAGGTATATTCATGCATTTCTTATCATTTTATTCAAATTTTGTTAAATAACTAAAGCAGTCATTTTTATCTTTCCATTTTTGGTTTTTTTTTTCTTCAAGAAAAGAAAAAATCGGGAGCATATTAACAAATAATCCTGTGGAGATGATTCCATGTTCCTTTTTTTTTTTTTTTTTTTTTTAAATGATCAATGAAATTTCTATATCAGTGATGATATATCAATTGAATTCAATTATATATCATCTACTGAAAATGCTCTAATTAACCGATACTGAAAACAATTCACATTGGTTTTAGTGATTGTCTATTTTAATAGACCATAACTGAATGAAGTAATTACAGCAGATAGAAATATGCTATACCAAATATAAATTAGGACATTTTTATAGGAAAAAAAGACATCGAAGAAATACCGATATTATGAAAGAATATATTTGATAAACAAGAAGAAAAGTAGTAGTAGTAGTAGTGATAGTAGTGATAAGGATTTCATAACACTTTGTTTTTTTTTCTTTGTATTTAAAAAAGATAATCATATAGAATGATAAATATAATTAAATGAAATATTCTCTATTAGTTTAATTCAATCAACTTGAAATATTTTTGAAATAAGAATGAATAAATAAATAATAAAGAATGGAATGTTAATGTTAAAAGATTTAAATTAATTATTATCAACATTCTGATAATATCATATAGTTATTTCCTCTTTCACTTCCGTTATTCATAACGGATACTTCAAGATTGTAAATAGTGATATGCGTATCGTTTTATCTATTCAATCGGATCTCTAATTCTATTTTGTAAATGCTTTTAAATGAAAATTTACAATGTTACCTTTAGGTTTATATATAATATTAAACTGATAATATCTTTTTTTTATAATATTTTCTCCTACTTTTGCTTTCTTTTTTTTATTGCCTTTTATAAGTTAATTCTTTCCTTTTTTTTTTCGTTATTACTATTATTTTATTACTTTTTAATATTTAAATTATTAATCTTTTATAATTAAATTTCTATTTATTGTAATATAAAAGGTACAAGGAAATTTTTCATTATGGAAAATTAATAATTCAGCAAAGAAAAAAGTGTAGAAATTTGAATGTATTTATAATTTTAATAAATTAAATTTTTTGTAGCAAATTTTATTGAGTATTTGAAATGTTAGGTGAACTTCATTTAATCACTGTGTTAATCAAGGACACAAATATATTATCGTTTAGTGCTACGAATTTTCTTCACTTATGTTATTCCTAATTTGGAAATATAATATTTAGTACAACAATGATAATAATAATAATTACAATAATAATAATAATAATAAATGATAGTGATGATAATAATGATAGTGATAATAATAATAAAAAATAATGATGATTTTAATCATTAATACTATTGTGTGTTAATAATGATAGTGATATGCTACTTATTTAAGTGACAATTTTCAATGAAATGAAATTTTAACAATGATAATAATAATGTTAGATGATAGTGATAATGATAATAACAATAATAATAATAATAATAATAACAATAATAATAATAATAATAATAATAATAGCGATAATAATAGTAATAATGATGATGATAATAATATTAATAATAAGTGATGATAATAATAATAATAACATAATGTTACTTAGTTTAGTGACATTTTTCAATTATTTTACTAAAATTTGCGTCTAAAATTTAGTGGATTATTTATAATAAATTTATTATTTATGAAAAATTACTTGTGATTTTCAATTATATCATTTTTATTCAATGAAATGTTATTTGTTATGAACATAAATTCTATTATTTGTTTGTTTATCGCATATTTTCTAGAAATATTATAGTAATATTTATATTTTAATTATTTACTCAACTTTAATTCAATCATTCACTTATTATTTATGAAAACTAATAATTTTAAAAAGCAAAAATGATTTAAATTAATAATGTGCAAATTTTGGATTTAAAATTAAATTTAAGCAGCAAATATTAGAAATATTAGTTCTGTGATAAGTAAAGCAAAAACTACTTTCTTTTTTTTTAATTATATATATATATGTTCTTTGTTTTTTTTTTCTTTTTTAGAGCAATTATTTAATTCTATTACGATGAGATGTAATTAGTTCGTTCAAATGTTCGTGTAAAATTTTATAACCTAAAAAAATGATGAACTAAAATTGCTTTTTTTTTTTCTCTTGTTTATTTATAATAAAAATTTATTTCATTTCATTCCTTTTTTCATAAATTAATTTCTATCAATGGATGATAAAACTGAATTGTAATTTTAAATATGAAAAAAAAATTTTTTTTCCTCACAAAAAGAATAAATTGAATTTAGAGAAGAAATTTTTTTCATTTTAACTGTAAAAGTTATTGCAAAGATAAATGTAAATTTTTTTTTGAGAAAATTAAAATATTTTTATTAATAACAAAATTGAATGAATGAATTTGTTACATTTATAAATGAAATAAAAATGTTAGTAAAATTTTGTATTGAAATGAAAAGTTAATTAATTTGTTAATTAATTAATTTGTAACAAAATATTTTTCAAATTTTTTTTTTTTTTTTATAAATATTCATCTTAGTATTTACAAAATTTCATTTTTTTAAAAAAAAAGGCAAACAAAAAAATTGTGAAGGACGAACATTTTTTTTTCTGCACTTTTTTAGATAGAACAAGTAGATGATTAGATGCACTTATTCAGTCTAAAAATTTTAAATTAAATTTTTGTTTTTATTTTTCCTTTTTCACTTTCAATTTAAAAAAAAAAAAACTATTTGATACATTTCTACCCTCTTTTTTTTTTTTAATTTTTGTTGAACTTTTAATTTATCGTGATTGAAGAGAAAAGAAAAAAAATAGAAATGAAATTTATTGGAAATTTTTATATTCCTATTTGAACAGCATCAAATTATATTTACAATGAAATAAATAAATAAATAAATAAACAAATAAACAAAAACAATGACATAAAAGTTTTTTTGTTTTTTTCAATAAATATTTCAAATTTACATACATCCATGTGTTATATACTTGCATATAAATACTGCATGCATGCATGCATGCTCAAATTATTGCAGCATGCATTAATCTTTTTTTTGCTCCCTCTATTTTATATATAATTAGCAAAATCAATATCTTCCATCAATTCTAATTTTATCAAAGTTCAATTTTCTTTTTCCTCTCCAAGAATATAATTTCTTTCTTTTTTCATCATTAAAATGAAGGAGAGCAAGATAGAGAGAGAGAGAGAAAGAGAAAAAGAATAAGTGAGAGAGAGGGAAAGAGAGAGAGAGAGAGAATTAAAAAAAAATGAAAGATACGTGGAAATAATTTTAAGATGCTGAGAAAAGAGAAAAAAATAACCAAAAAAAAAGAAAGATGCGAAGAAATTCATTTGTGAAACTTTTCAACGAATGTGGTTTGTTAGACACAACGAATTACGGCTAATTTTCAATCAATCAATCAGTCAATCAATCAATCGATCAATCAATCGATCAACCAATCAGTTACTCATAGTAAATATTCTACATTTAGATGCATTGGTGACATTTTCTTCACTGTTTGACAATGACACTTAAAAATTGTCCCATAACTTTTGCTCTTAATTTTTTTATTATTGCATTTTATCATTTTGCTTCTTGTTTGCTAAATTATTTATTTTTTCTATTATTTTAATTTTTATTATTTTATCATTTTGTTTTTTTTTTTTTTTGCTTGCTAAAAAAAATTACTAAATGTTAAATTTTTAATTTTTTTTAAAAAAGAAGTTAAAATTTTCCTGCGTATATTTAAAGTTATAAATTATTGATTTTTTTTTTTCTGGAAATCGAATTTATTTTAGGTTTTTATTACTAAAAAAGTTTTTATTTAAAGAGAGTTTTTTTTTTTTAAAAAAAAAGTTTTAATTTCGTGTAAAAAAAAGTTTTAATTTTTTTGTTTTTTTGTGTTATGTACTATCAAAATAACTTCAAATAAAATAATTTATTATTCAATGTGCAATCGTTTTTTATTCTTTTTTCCTTTAATTAATTAATTATAAGTATAGATTAGATAACATTGCAATTTTAGTAATTTTTTTTTTTAATAAAAATAATTTTCTTAATTTCTCTTTTAATTTATATATCAAAAACTATACAATAAGGATTAATTTAAAGCAATGAAGTAAACAATAACTTTCTTTA